AAGGACATAAGCTCATTCCCTAGATTCTAGCATAGACACATTTATACACCTATGGCTAATGATCTTAATTAAGTGTATCGTGAACAAAACTAGCAATTCAACCATACTTTCATTTCATTGTTTAGTTGCTTTAATTGTTTGTTTGTTTGTTGCTACAACTGTTGGTCCCAAAAGAGGTAAGGTGAAAGTCTAGAGGGGGGGGGGGGTGAATAGACTTTCAAACTTTTTCGCACAGCACAACAATTGCTAATCCAGAGATAAACCAAAACTCTTAACTAGATTGATAGAGTATGGTGCACAGCGGAATTAAATAAACATAAAGTGTGTGTGAGATTGTGTGAGCAGTATATCTCGTGTAGAGCGAATATGTAAAGAACAGTATGTAAAGAAAACAGTAAAGAACACAAGACAATTATAGTGGTTCGCGAGGTGGTGTAATCCTCCTACTCCACTTGCTCTTATCTCCAAGAGCAATTCACTATATCTACCACTCCTTGGTTCCAAGATACAATGAATTTCCGTGATCTAGTGCTTTGATCACAAAGCCCGCACTAATCACGCCCAGTGACACCACACTGCTGCTTCGGGTTTCACGTCGCCGCGCTACTATCCCAGGATTTCACGACTCCGCGTTACTTTCCCCCCGTCTTCCACACTCCCGTAGAAACGTATCCCGTGATCTAGTGCTTTGATCACAAAGCCCGCACTAATCACGCCCAGTGCCTCCGACACTGCTGCTTCGGATCTCACAGCTCCGTGTGACAATCCAGGATTTCACAGCTCCGTGCTACTTTCCTCCCTTCTCTTGTTTTGCTCCAAAACAAACGTTGTCTTGCTTCCAACTTCTGAGACTCTGTAGATGATTTTCAATGATGCGCAGGTCTCTTTGATGAAGATAAACACTCTGGAATGATTTAGCTTGATAGCTCTGAGTGTTTTATCTCTTTGAATATATCAAGTAAAGCACTTGATATTTTTGCTCTGCTTTGCTCTGTTTAAGAACTCTCAGAATATTTCTCTTTTGAAGCTCTCTGAGTTCTTTTTCTTTTCTCACTTCTCACTTGAAGATTTTTTGTATGCTCTGTACCAAATGAGATTTTTGCTCTATGCTCTTTTAAGCTTAATTGCTCTATTCGTTCCCCTTGATGGGTTCGTATTTTCTGCTCTCTTGTTCTTGAGTTCTCAACTGCTCTATCTTCAAGTCTTCATATTTTCATCATTTTATAGTTGGTAATGAGAATCTGTCCGTTGGAAAGAGACGCTCTCATTTTTGAAATCTTGTATCTTTTTGTCAGAGATCTTATCTTATCTTCTGCAAAGATGTCAGAAAGGATAAGCTAGCCGTTTGATGGATCTTCATCTTCATGGAAATGAGCTCCCAAACTTCATCTGATATTCCTCTGGTTTAACGTTGAGTGGGAATATCTGGGTCTCTGTTTTGGTGTAGAATGGCTTCTCTGATCAGCTCTGAAGTGGTCTTTGTATCTTTGGGATTCAAAAATATTCATTAATTTAATCCCATACTAGTTATACTAGTATTTTTCCTTCTGAGAATATTTTCACTGTAAGTTCTTCTTTTTCTTCTCCATTCTCACGTCCGGGTGTTCTCAGACTTCAAATTAGTTTTGAACTTCCACCCAATTTGAATTTCTCCTTTGCAATTGACACCCAATTTCAATTGGCTTGTAATTGGCACCCAATTTGAATTTCTCCATTGTAATTGGCTCCCAATTGACTTTGACTTGCGTGAACTTCCACCCAATTTGAATTTCTCCTTTGCAATTGACACTCAATTTCAATTGGCTTGTAATTGGCACCCAATTTGAATTTCTCCATTGTAATTGGCTCCCAATTGACTTTGACTTGCAATTGGCGGCTCCCAATTGACTTTGACTTGCAATTGGCTCCCAAGCTTCTCCTGGTGCTTTCAATTGCTTCCCAATTTGAATTATTGACTTTGACTTACTTCGACTTTGACTTGACTTCGAAATTGGCTCCCAGACTTCTCTTGGTATTGAATTTTATCTCAATTCAATTTGATGAGTTTTATCTCAATTCAATTTGATCTCCATGTCTTCTTTGAATTGGTCCCCAATTTGAATTTGCATCCCACACTACAACATTGGCTCCCAATTGGTCCCCAATTTGAATTTGCATCCCACACTACAACATTGGCTCCCAATTTCAATTCTACATTGGCTCCCATGTCTACTACAACATTGGCTCCCAATTTCAATTCTACATTGGCTCCCATGTCTTCTTTAAATTGGTCCCCAATTTGAATGGAACTTGCTCCCAAATTTCAATCAATTGATTTCAATTTCTCTAAAATTGGCTCCCAATTTCAATTCTTGTGAAGTCAGCTCCCAATTTCAATTGCTATGAAATCGGCTCCCAATGCTAGATTTAATTAGATTTGGCTTCTCAAATTTTACCTTATAAAATTATTGATGGTGAGATTCGAACTTGAGCCATTTCACATATTATATCAAGCATCATCCACTTCATCCGTACAACTATTGATTAAATCTCCAATCTTCTTTGATGTACTCCTTTCTTTCCATAGATGCTTGATTTCCAAGTCAATTTCATGCATTCTTCCAATCTTAATTTTCTTCACGAAAATTCTTCTGGGATATTTCTTTAAGTAGTAGCGACGTGAATATTGTAGCATTCATCTTCTTCTTTAATTTGTCATTTTCTCCAGACAAATTATTGATTTTAGGCATTATATCTTCTTCTTCTATTTTCATGCATCTTCCTCTGTTTTTCTCTTTTCCAATTTAAATAATTTCCCGATCATGGTCTAAGACTCTACTAGACCTAAGAAATAAATTGGGGGATCTACAAATACATATTCGGCATATCAAAACCATTACACTTTATTCCTAACAATTTCCCCCCTTTTTGATTTTCCAAAACCTATACTCAGTCATTGATTTTAAGTCTTTGAAAAATATTCTTTTTGCTCAATTTTATTTGACAAAGCCAAGATGAGTTTAACAAAGGTTTTCTAGACACAAACAAAAGAAACTTGTGAATTAATTTTTAGACAAGCTCCTAAACGCATCTTGAATTATTTTTATTTTGATCATCATCAATTTTTAATTTTGTCGTGCGTTTGACATATTTCTTGTCTTTTAATTCACGAAAGTCTAATTACATTAAACAAACAAAATTAAAGACTCAAAATAGACCATGGGAAATTATTATTGATATATATCGAATTTATAGAGAAAAACGCAACAGAGGTTCGAAAATAGAAAATATCAGCTTAAGAGAATTTTCATATTACCTTATGGGTTTCTTCACACCAGAGTCTTTCTTCAAAATTTCCTTGACATGTTCTCTGAGCTTTAAGAAATCATCTTTGAACTTTGCATTCTGAAATTTCTTTGTAAGCTGTCCGGCCATGTAATGTCCAAAAGCTTCTTTGATGTTGTTGCCATGAAGAGCTCCAGCTTCCCACCATAAGACACATTCTTCGAAGCTTCTTTCTTCTCCAAGATTCATGCCCATATTTCCAGTGAAATCTCTTAGTTCATACCACATCTCGGTTCTTTTCCTTTTGCCTTCTTCTTCTTTATTCTTCTCCGAGATCTATTGGGCTTGATCGGCTGCAGGCCATTTCTTGATCATGCTTGGTAGATTTTCCTTAGTCCATATTGTTGTCTGAGTGGCGGTACCCTTAGAGCATTCAAACCAGCCACGCTGTTCAGCAACCTTCGTTGTACTCGTACCAAGACTAGGATTTGCGAACTGAGCAAAACCAATCTGAGATGGTCCTTGTGAGGATTGTCCGCGGCTTCGGCCTCTACCTTGAGTAGACATTATTGGCTGTTGTTGGCTTCCAAGAATAAATTCTTGTTGCTGCAAAGCCAAGTGACTGAGAATTTCTTCCCCCCTTTTGGCGTTATCAACCAAAAAAGCAAGGGTTTTACAATCTCGGTCTTGGTTTGCTTTCACAGCTTCAACACTGTTGTGCGTTTCAATGGAAACGGTTTGTACGTTGTCCAGCTTGTTTGTTGTAACTGCGAGTTCAACTTCAAGTTTGTTGATTCGGCTTTCTTGATCTTGAATTGCCTTGACTTGTCGCAAGTGACGTTCATTGTGAATCTTTTCAGCTGCTTCTCGTTCCTTCTTCATGAGCTGAATCACTTCAAGTAAGCCTTTTGTTAAATCTCCTTTCAAGATTTTTTCTGCTTTGTCAATCTGGGTCTTCAAAATATTTTGATGGTCCATTAATTCCTTCAGATTGACTCGGGTATCTGTGTGTTGTTGATCCAACTTTTCTCCAATTGTTTGACAAACAACATCACTGGATTCGGCCACTTTTGCAAATAGAGATGAAAATATGCCATCATTTTGATCATTCATCTGCACAAAGTTTTGAGGGGATCCGAATGGACTTCTATTCGGATCTGTGAGAACAACTGTATCAATGAGTTGCATCCCTTCTTCTTCAGGTGATTCGGCTTCTTGATTGAGATCACCAATTTCTTCTTCTAAGACTTTTGTTCTTGTGTAGTTGTCTGCAAATAATTCTTCATTTTCTAGAACAGGGTCCATGGTAGGCATGGTAGACTCGGTATGGTGTACTGGCAATACACTGGATAAATTCTCTGTGATTTGTTGTCTACTCTCAGTAGCAACTTCTACTGCAACTTCAACTAGTATATCTCTTCTTCTTTCTTCTGACATTTGTTCTCTTACTTCTTCTCGTACTGACACTTCTCCTCTTAATCTTTTCTTCTTTTATCCCTTCTTGTAGCCATCATATATATTTTTTTAATTTCTTTTATTCTCCTTTTTTTTATATTTTATTCATATGATTTTTTTTATGTATCTTTTTGGCTACGAAACTTGTTCTTTTTATATACCGTAGGGATTTTTCATTTTGTAGGAGAGAGATAGAGAGAGACAGAAAACAAAAACATTCATTTTTATTCATCTCCTTCTTTCAGAGAAGGAGAGAGAGAGAAAGATAACATAGCACTTCTTCAACAGGCAGAGAAACCAGTACTCATGCAATCTTTTGAGTCATAACCTCCTGGTGGTGAAGGAGCATATCCTGGTCCTGAGTCACCATTGGACTCACTTTCCTCGAACATCGACCCGTTAGAGCTTGAAGATGAGTAGGTTTGATTGAAAAACCTAGTAAAGTCTACAGGGGGTCGGATGAATGGGTTGAGAGGCATCTGCTGAGGAGGCGGTGGAGGAGCAGGAACTTCTTGTGGAAGAGGTGCAGGAACTGGCAGACTTGGTGGAAACTTCGGAAGAGGCTCTGGTGGAGGTGGAGGTTGATAGAGCCCATCGAAACCGAAACCAGGAGGGGGTAGAACCGGTCCAAACGTCAGTTGTTTTAAATAGAGGAGATATTCTGAATTGCTCATATTCAGAATCTCAGCATACAGGTCAGGTTGAACAATTGGTGAAAATTTCATAAATGGAGGCTCAGACCCTTCCACTTTGTCTTGTTCTGCCAACGGTTTCTCTTCACCAACGTCCTCTTCATATATGAAGCCAGGTTCACGCGGTGGTGATTCTGCAACTGCTTGGACTAGAGGTGACTTTGGTTCGTGCTTTTCTCCTTCTTCTGATATTAACACCAGAGGGTTGCTTGGTGTCTCTCCAGCCTTCTTACGTCCGTCCGTTCGTGTTGTCCTTCGGGGTTGCTTGAGAACTTTCTCCCAAGTTCTCTGATTTGGATTCCTTATCTCGTAGTCCTGAGATTCACTTGACACCATCTTGTACCTGCAAAAAAAGTTTAAACAACAAAATCTTCCACAGCAAATATTTCTCGGCTGTCTCCCAATATATAGGGCGGTCAGGGAGACTTATCGGTTCACTTGCCGATGGAGAGTAAATATTGCTTGCCGTCGTTTAGAGTTTACGGGATGTGACGGATAGCGGCAAGGCTTCTCATTGGTTGAGATGGCGGTGGATGGGAAGAGATTTGATGGGCAACGGTTTTGAGGAGAGAGTTTAATGAGGGGTTTAATTGCTATGTGGGAGTCGATTGAGATTATTTAGCTGAGAGGAGGTATGGGTATGCCGATTTGAGAGAGAAAGTGAATCAGTTTGAAAAGATTTGATCTAGGAGAGGATTATGGGGGGAGGTTTAGGTTGGGTGGAGGTTTAGAAAGGGTAGGAGTTTATGGGTGGAGGTTTGATGCCAAATTAAACTCTAATTTTCCTCCTTTGTCTCCTGATTTCCTTCTCAAAATCGTGTACCACAGATATAATCACACTCAAACATCTCGTTAGTCGCATAAATTACTCCACAAATAATTAATCACACATACCAATTATATTAAAACATCCACACGGCAATTCCCAATTAAAACACACAAATTTTGAAAATTAACACAATTAACACATATATTCCAAAATTATATTTAGAAACAACTTTATATAAAATAACATGCTAAATCAGATTCTAAAAATTTTAGAAACTAACAAAAAGCATTTTAACAAATTATATAAACATGTATGCATATGCACGTAACACATAAAGATTTAAACACATTAAATCAAATTATGCACATATATAATTAAATAAACACGGTAAATCATATTTTTAGACAAATTGTTCATGCAAACAAATTAATTAATTTTAAAAACATGAACACATACTCATACACTGATTAACACATTAAAACATGCACTTTTAAACTAATTATCAAATAAAACACGAATTGCACATTTTATCAAATTAATTTGCATGGCATATTGGTGGATCTCACGTTAAATAACACATGCAAATACACAAATAGCTTCCTAACACATACTGCAATTTTATCACATAAAAATTTTGAATTAAAATATGCATATAAACACATAAAACAATTTATTCATACAAAACAATTTATTTTGAGCACAAGTATCAAATTAAATAGAGAGATTAAGTTCAGCGATACTTAGCTCATTTCGATCATTCCCAACTCGTGCCTTAAGGTAGAAAATCTCGTTTCGCATAAAGGCTTCGTGAGAATATCAGCAACTTGGTTTTCCGTAGGGATATATTCGATCTTCAGATTTTTCTTTTCAACATGATCTCTTATAAAATGATGTCGAATGTCGATATGTTTGGTTCTTGAGTGAAGCACCGGATTGTGAGTGATAGCGATTGCACTAGTATTATCACAATAAATACTAACGTCATCACAATTAACTCCGTAATCCTTCAATTGTGGCTTCATCCACAAAATTTGCGCACAACAACTTCCTGCAGCAATATATTCGGCCTCGGTGGTACTAGTTGCGATGGAATTTTGCTTTTTGCTGAACCAAGAAAAATGCCTTCCCCCCAGGAACTGGCATGTCCCGGAAGTGCTTTTTCTGTCTATTTTGCAACCTGCAAAATCCGCATCTGAAAAACCTGTTAGAGTAAAATCTGTACCTTTTGGATACCACAATCCAACACTGATTGTGCCTTTCAAATATCGTATGATCTTCTTTGTTGCGGTGAGGTGGCTTTCTTTTGGATTTGCTTGGAATCTTGCACACACTCCCACAGCATAAGAAATGTCCGGCCTGGTTGCAGTAAGATATAGAAGAGAACTAATCATTCCTCTATATTTTGTTTGATCGACATCTTTTCTTTCTTCATCTTTGTCTAGCCTTATTGATGTGCTCATTGAAATTTTGATCGATGATTTTCCATCAATGCCAAACTTCTATATCAAATCGCGGGTGTACTTTGCTTGATTGATGAATACTCCTTCTTTCAGTTGTTTGACTTGTAAGCCCAAGAAGTAATTCAATTCACCCATCATGCTCATTTCGAATTTATTCTGCGTAAGCTTCGAAAATTTCTCACACAAAGAATTGTTAGTGCTTCCAAAAATAATATCATCAACATATATTTGCACTAATAAAATATGATCACCATCTTGAATTCTAAATAGAGTTTTGTCAACAAGGCCTTTGGTGAATCCACAGCTTATCAAGAACATTGACAAAGTATCATACCAAGCTCGAGGTGCTTGTTTCAACCCATACAATGCCTTTTTAAGTTTGTAGACTTTATCACCTTCGCCTTTTACCTCAAAACCTGGGGGTTGTTCGACATAAACTTCTTCTTCGAGTAGACCATTCAAGAATGCGCTTTTCACGTCCATTTGATAAACGGTGAAATCTTTGTGTGCGGCGTAGGCTAGGAAAATTCTAATTGCTTCAAGTCGAGCCACTGGTGCAAAAGTTTCATCAAAATCAATTCCTTCTTCTTGAGAGTATCCTTTTGCAACTAGCCTTGCCTTATTCCTAACAATCACGCCTTCTTCGTTTGCTTTGTTCTGGAAAACCCATTTGGTTCCTACAACGTTGTGGTTCGTCGGTCTTGGAACAAGTTCCCAAACATCATTTCTTTTGAATTGATCGAGTTCCTCTTGCATAGCATTTATCCAATCCGGATCATTAAGAGCTTCGTCAACTTCTTTTGGTTCAATTTGAGATAGATAACACATGAACAATGTTTTCACGCCTTCATGGATATTCCCAATAATTAATTCTGGAGGGTGATTTTTGAGTCATCTTAAATCTGGTTGAAATGGGTGCATGGTACTGGGTGGATCCATTTGCTGTGAACTAGTAGTGTTGGTTCGAATTTCCTCAATTAATTCATTTTGGAATTGATTACCAACTTCACATGCAACTTGATCACAAACTGGAACCCGTACTGCATCCTCATTATCACGTGCGGCATCACTCCCAAAATTATTATTTAAAGAATTTCCAACTTCTTCTAGATGAGGAATGGGATTTTCTAGAGAATTAATTTCCAACTCATCCATTCCACTTATTGGATCAACCGGTCCAAATAAGTCCATATGTAGTAAGCTTAGCGGTCTTGACGTTGACTCGTGTGTCTTTGATTTGAATGATGATTTGATTTGCTTTCCGCGTTGACATGCATCACACACTTGGTCCTTCTTGAAAATAATATCTGGCAAGCCTTCTACTAGATTCTTCTTTGCAAGCTGATTGATAGTCTTGAAGTTTAAGTGGTTGAGCTTTCTGTGCCATTCCCAGTTAGCTTCATTCGAATTCCTGGCCATTAAGCACACTAAAACTTTGCTTGTGCTCCAATCAACAACATACATATTCTTTCGTCTTTTTCCAGAGAGAACAATCTCATTTGTGAGCTCATTTTTTATTAGGCAATTATCTTTAGAAAATTCTACAAGATAGCCTTTATCTCAAAATTGACTAGTGCTCAACAAATTAAATTTTAAGCCTTCAACAAAAGAAACATCTTCAATTTTCAATCCATTTTTCTTGATCGTGCCAACTCCTTTTGTAGTTCCATAATTTTGATTTCCTCCGAATATAACTTTTGGTCCATCGATTTCTTTGAAATTCACTAGATATGATTTATTTCTAGTCATGTGGCGTGAGCAACCACTATTGATGTACCAAACATCCTGTAAAAAAGATTAATTAACTTTAGGTACCCATACTTTCTTGGGTCCTTTACTGTTAGTGATTTTTGGTAACCAAACCCACCTTGATCTTATTGAATTAAGATGAGGCGATTTGTAACCATTAGAGACACGATAATCATAACTCACTTTTGAAAACATTTTTGGCGCCGGGTTTTGAAAATTATTTTTATATTTTGGCACCTGAGAAGAGAATTGTTGCGTTGGTCTATAAAAAGCATTACATCTATTGCACATCCAATCTTTTTGAGTGGGATAAAATCTCCCAACTTTATTTCTAGAAAAACTTCCCTCTTTTCTATGAAATCTTTTTTCACTTGACTCTTTGGCATATCTTTGCTTGATGAATTTTTGTTGCTTAGCCGTACTGTAGAATTGTTTCGACATTTCAACATTCAAATTTGCTTTTATTTGATAGCCAAGTCCTTGTCTCATCGTGCTATTCTGACTTTTAACAAATTTTACCACTTGAACTTTATTATTTAAAGTAGTAGTAGAATTAGTCAGATTTTGAGGGGTTTGAGAACATGTGGAGTCATAACCGATTCCGGTTCTATCTCCTGATGGCTTTTGCATGCTCACCATTTTATCTATAATTTTAGAAGAATTAGTGAACGTAGCAATAGTAGCTCTAAGATTATGTTCTCTAACCTCTCTTTCTTTACACTCCTCTTGAAGATGAATATTTTCATTCTTCAATTTACTCACTTCTGGTAAAGCATCTTGCAATTTTTTATTCATTTCTTCTTTTTCAAGAATTAGAATATTATTGCGCTCCTTGAGTTGAGGATGGGTGAGCATAATCTCTTGACATTCTCGCATTAGATTTTCAATAGATTCACGAGAAAAGGAAGAATTAACAGAATTAAAAGAATTAGATGTTACCTCTTCTTCCTCTGCTTCAAGAGCCATAAGACAATCTTCACTTGTACTCAACTCAATTGACTTGCATACTAGCGCCGTATCATCATCCGAACATGAACTTTCATCGCTTGATGATGAATCCTCCGAATCATCATTTTCGTTTGGTTCGTTTCTAACGAGAGCTTTTCTTTTGTCGCGCTTGAACCTTTTGCTTTCAGATTTGTTTGGCGTAGATTCAACATTTTTGCCTTGATACTTGCTAACGATCGGATACGGACAATTTATTTTAAAATGTCCGGGTTTGCAGCAATTGTAGCACAAATTGTTGTTTTCTTCGACTTTTTCTTCTTGTGATATGCGTGAGACGAATTTTCCACGAGCAGAATTTTTGTTGTCTCCTTTTCGCATAAACCTTCTAAACTTTTTGACAAAAAGAGCAAATTATTCGTCAGTCATAAAATCAACATTATTTTCTACTGACCTGGAGGTTGACGGTTGTTCGGCCATTAGAGCAGCATTTCGAGCTTCATGAACATCATCATCTTTGGCCTTCATTTCAAACTCATATGCCTTTAGATCACTAAATAATTTGTCTGTAGACAACATTCTTATATCTCGGTGATCGCGCATAGCCGTAACCTTCATATCCCATGCAGATGGTAAGCCTCGTAGGATTTTGAGATTAATTTCTTTTTGGCTAATATTTTTGCCAAGATCACTAATCTCTCCAAGAACTTTGATCATTCGAGCTTCCATATCTGCAACACTTTCATTTGAGAGCATTTTGAAATCTACAAACTTCTTCATGGCGATTGTAAGCTTATTGTCTTTTTTCTTGTTCATCTCCTTCGCCAATCTTGATGAGAGTTTCCCATATTTCTTTAGCAGTAGCACACTTTCGGATCTTCGAAAATATTGTATCATCAACGGCTTTGAATAGAATATCCTTAGCAATATTGTCAAGATTACTCCGCGTTCTATCGTCCGATGTCCATTCCGGTTTTGGCTTTTGTACGTACTGTGGAGCATCCGGGGATATAACAAATGCCGTATTGATCTTAAATATTTCTATAGGGCCAGTGGAAATAACTTCCCACATGTCATCGTGTAAAGCCGATAAGTGTACCTGCATACGAACTTTCCAATCATCAAACTTATCAAGTGAGAATAATAGATTTTGAGCTAAATCTTTCTTCATCATCATCACGAGAGATATGAAAGATTAATCCAATTCACACACATTGTAGAATGGATCAGCCTAGCAGTCAAAAACAGTTAACCCAGTTGGGCAACGTGTTTTAATACCAAAGGTTTGTATAAACTGACTCAAATAGGCTACATGCTCTGATACCAATTGCTGGTCCCAAAAGAGGTAAGGTGAAAGTCTAGAGAGGGGAGGGGGGGCGGGGTGAATAGACTTTCAAACTTTTTCGCACAGCACAACAATTGCTAAGCCAGAGATAAACCAAAACTCTTAACTAGATTGTTAGAGTATGGTGCACAGCGGAATTAAATAAACATAAAGTGTGTGTGGGATTGTGTGAGCAGTATATCTCGTGTAGAGCGAATATGTAAAGAGCAGTATGTAAAGAAAGCAGTAAAGAACACAAGATAATTATAGTGGTTCGCGAGGTGGTGTAATCCTCCTACTCCACTTGCTCTTATCTCCAAGAGCAATTCACTATATCTACCCCTCCTTGGTTCCAAGATACAATGAATTTCCGTGATCTAGTGCTTTGATCACAAAGCCCGCACTAATCACGCCCAGTGACACCACACTGCTGCTTCGGGTTTCACGTCGCCACGCTACTATCCCAGGATTTCACGACTCCGCGTTACTTTCCCCCGTCTTCCACACTCCGGTAGAAACGTATCCCGTGATCTAGTGCTTTGATCACAAAGCCCGCACTAATCACGCCCAGTGCCTCCGACACTGCTGCTTCGGATCTCACAGCTCCATGTGACAATCCAGGATTTCACAGCTCCGTGCTACTTTCCTCCCTTCTCTTGTTTGCTCCAAAACAAGTGTTGTCTTGCTTCCAACTTCTGAGACTCTGTAGATGATCTTCAATGATGCGCAGGTCTCTTTGATGAAGATAAACACTCTGGAATGATTTCTCTTGATAGCTATGAGTGTTTTCTCTCTTTGAATATATCAAGTAAAGCACTTGATATTTTTGCTCTTGCTCTATTAAAGAACTCTCAGAATATTTCTCTTTTGAAGCTCTCTGACTTCTTTTTCTTTTCTCACTTCTCACTTGAAGATTTTTGGTATGCTCTGTACCAAATGAGATTTTTGCTCTATGTTCTTTTAAGCTTAATTGCTCTATTCGTTCCCCATGATGGGTTCGTATTTTCTGCTCTCTTGTTTGTGAGTTCTCAACTGCTCTATCTTCAAGTCTTCATATCTTCATCATTTTATAGCTGGTAATGAGAATCTGTCCGTTGGAAAGAGACGCTCTCATTTTTGAAATCTTGTATCTTTTTGTCAGAGATCTTATCTTATCTTCTGCAAAGATGTCAGAAAGGATAAGCTAGCCGTTTGATGGATCTTCATCTTCATGTAAATGAGCTCCCGAACTTCATCTGATATTCCTCTGGTTTAACGTTGAGTGGCAATATCTGGGTCTCTGTTTTGGTGTAGAATGGCTTCTCTGATCAGCTCTAAAGTGGTCTTTGTATCTTTGGGATTCAAAAATATTCATTAATTTAATCCCATACTAGTTAGACTAGTATTTTTCCTTGTGAGAATATTTTCACTGTAAGTTCTTCTTCTTCTTCTCCATTCTTCTTCAAATTGGTTTTGAACTTCCACCCAATTTGAATTTCTCCATTGTAATTGGTTCCCAATTGACTTTGACTTGCAATTGGCTCACAAGCTTCTCCTGGTGCTTCTTGTGAAGTCAGCTCTCCCAATGCTAGACTTGCGCCCAACTCCATCAGATTTAATTAGATTTGACGGTGAGATTCGAACTTAAGCCATTTCGCATATTATATCAAGCATCATCCACTTCATCCGTACAACTATTGATTAAATCTCCAATCTTCTTTGATGTACTCCTTTCTTTCCATAGATGCTTGATTTCCAAGTCAATTTCATGCATTCTTCCAATCTTAATTTTCTTCACGAAAATTCTTCTGGGATATTTCTTTAAGTAGTAGCGACGTGAATATTGTATCATTCATCTTCTTCTTCAATTTGTCATTTTCTCCAGACAAATTCTTGATTTTAGGCTTTATATCTTCTTCTTCTATTTTCATGCATCTTCCTCTGTTTTTCTCTTTTCAATTTAAATAATTTCCCGATCATGGTCTAAGACTCTACTAGACCTAAGAAATAAAATTGGGTGATCTACAAATACATATTTGGCATATCAAAACCATTACACTTTATTCCTAA